CTAGGATGCTAGCTAGCCAGAGTGGTGGTTGGGGCCAGGGAATTAAATAGGAAAAATAGCTTCATATTAACTACTGAATAAAGTCACTGGCAGAGGAAGACGAAGATTGGACTTCTATTCCCAGAGGTATTTTAAAGTAAGAGATGTTGATTTCAGCAAAAATGTTTGCATTTCATAAACACGCTTGCATTTCACAAGCATTGTAATTTTATTTTTGCTTATTACCTTCCACTCTTTTCTTCTACTTGTATATATATTCTGCATAGCTGTTAATCATATTGTACATGCCATTATATTATCCTTGTTCACTAAAAACACATTATAAACATTTTCTGTGATACACTGTTTCAAAATACTTAAGGGAAAACCCCTGTTGTATATAATCGCATCAACGATCTTTTACTTTAACAAAAAGATAAATAGCAGAGTCCATAGGTATAAATCAAAGTACAATTTATGAATTTGTTAACTCTTCTTCCCCCATGCAGATGTTTCTCAGAGAGAAGACCTTCACAGAAATGCATATAGACATAACCGTACATACCTCCTCTGTGCATAGGTGGATTGGAGAAGAGAGAGGGTGACCAAATGTACAGGATATGTCTGAGAAACTCGTGCCTAGCAAAGATGAACATCTTGATAGTAGTGAGGTGGGGACTTAAACCTCAGGTCTGGCTGACTCTCAGGCTCCTGTTCTTTCCATATTTAGGTTATGTCTATTTTAAATAATACTGAAATATCCTTGTAGGTAAATCTTTGACCACATTTGTGATTATTTCCTAAGAATAGTTTCTGGATGGGAATTGCTTAGCCAAAGAATATAATATTAAAATAATTTAATTGACTTAATTTTTCTAGAATAGTTTTAAGCTTATAGAAAAATTGAGCAGAGAGTTCCCATATACTCCCTCTCAACACAGTTTCCCCATAATAACATCTTACATTAGGGTGGTGTATTTATTACAGTTATTAAACCAATTTATAATTATTAGCTAAAGCCCATACTTTATTCAGAATTCCTTAGTTTTTACCTAATGTCTTTTTTCTGTTTCAGAATCCCATCCAGAACACATTACATTTAGTCCTCATGTCTTCTTAGGCTCCTCTTGACTATGACAGTCTCAAACTTGCCTTGTTTTTGATGACCTTGACAGTTTTGGGAAGTACCAGTCAAATTGTTGGCTGTCTCTTAATGGGGATTTGTCTGATGTTTTTCTCATGATTAGATAGGAGTTTTTGAGAGGAAGATTATAGAGGTAATGTGCCATTTTTATTACATCATATCAAGAGTACATACTATCAACATGATTTACAACTGCTGATGTTGACCTTGATCACCAGGCTGCTGTGGTGTGTGTGAGACTGCTCAGCTGTGAGATTATTTCCCCACCCTCTTCCTCTACTGTACTCTTTGGAAGTGTGACGGGAAGCCACACTTAGGGAGTGGGGAGTTATGCTCCCCCTGAATATAAATATTTTTCTTTTTTTTTTTTTAAAGATTTTATTTACCTGACAGAGAAAGACACAGCAAGAGAGGGAACACGAGCAGGGGGAGTGGGAGAGGGAGAAGCAGGCTTCCCGCGGAGCAGGGAGCCCAATGCGGGGCTCGATCCCAGGACCCTGGGATCACGACCCGAGCCGAAGGCAGACGCTTAATGACTGAGCCACCCAGGCACCCCCTGAATATAAATATTTCTAAGGCTTTTGGTACAAGCTGTGGAATTACTCTTCAGGAAGAAAGATTATACCAGTCTACATTCCCAGCAGAAATGTGCATATGTATCTACTTTATTGCAAATTTGCCGGCATTGGATATTGTCCTTAAAAAAATCTGTGGATTTTAAAGAGGAAAAATGGCATCTCATTTCTCTTTGCATTCATGAATTTATTGGAGAGTTTGTGTATTTTAAAAACTATATGCTCTGTTGGCTGCTTGCATATGTTCTTTCAGGGATTACTTGTACATCCTTTGCTCATTTTTAGATATTGGGGTATTTAACTTTGTTTTGTTAATCTTTAGTATATTGGTATTTCATTTAGTCATATATGTTGCCAGTATTTTTTTTTAAGGTGTTTTCTTTTTAAAGATTTTATTTATTTATTTATTTGACAGAGAGAGACATAGTGAGAGAGGGAACACAAGCAGGGGGAAGTGGGAGAGGGAGAAGCAGGCTTCCAACCGAGCAGGGAGCCCAATGCGGGGCTCGATCCCAGGACTCTGGGATTATGACCTGAGCGAAAGCAGACGCTTAAGCACTGAGCTGCCCAGGCACCCCTTTTAAGGTTTTTTTTTTTTTCTTATTCATTCGAGACACAGAGATACAGAGAGAGAGAATATGAGCAGAGGGAGAAGCAGAGGGAGGGGGAGAAGCAGGCCCCCTGCTCGGGGCTCTTTCCCAGGACCCTGGGATCATGACCCGAGCCGAAGGCAGACGCCCAACCATCTGAGCCACCCAGGTGCCACGCCAGTATTTTTTTTTTAAGTTTTCCTTTTTCCTTTTAATGTTATTTGTGATATTTTTTGGAACATGGACGTTTTCATTTCACATGATCAACTCTTCGGTCTTTTTCTTTATAATTTTTAACTTTGTTGTCATGTTTAGAAAGGTTAAATTTGTACTTTGTAAGATACCTGAACAAATTTACATTTGGGAAGTTATTAGTATTATTATTTTAAGAAGTTATTATTTTTAAATGTTGGGTTCCCATGAAATGGGGGGGGACATGGCCTAGCTAGATTGAACTTTGGAACAGTTAAAACATTTCAAGCACACATTTGAAATGGACGTATGTCAAGATGGATAACTGTAAAGCATGGCCTCTTGAGAATTTCTGGTTTTAATGTATTAAAGAATTCTTAAAATGGTAGTGAACTGGCTGACGTGATACTAGGTTCTTTGGGGCCACAAAATGGCAAACTAATGGGGTGACTTGAAAATGTGTTAAGTGAGCACTTAGGTGAGAGATGAGCTTTAAAGAATACGATGATAAGAAATGTGATTCTTAAGAGGCGAATTCGATCACCATCCTTCAGTAATTTGCATATCCAAATGAGTAGTCAGAAATGGGGATTTGGGGTCTTGGGAGTGGTGGGGTGGTAGGGGTGGCCAGAAACATGTATTTCCACAAGTAGCTATTTCCAAAGCCCCCAAATTTTTAGAATAGTCTCGTTTAGAATTTTCTTCTGAGCCAACATCAGTCATGAAATAAAATTAGTCTAATTAAGGTTAGTTGTGCCTCACAAGGTAAAATAGTACATGGAAATAAAGCAGACCATGCTGTGGCAGACTGAGATGTGGAATGTTAATTGATGTGCTTTTGTCTCTCCTTATACTCATCAGATCTTTTCAGTGGATCTCAGACCCCTTTCCTCAGGGCAATGCGGGGGGCAGGGAGCCCTTCAGTGAAGCACCAAAGAGCAAGTCAATGAATCACTGACATCGAAGTTCAAAGGCTCCACTCAGGGATAGGACAGAAAAGATCTGCAAAGGGATTGGAGGAGACAGAAAACGCCCCCCCCTTTCCAATAGTTAAAGAATATCTCCTGAGCTAGGAATGGGAAAGAGTTGGGAGAGAACCCACAGGGTTATGTGTGAGTGTGGGACTTCTGTTCCTGCTTCTGATCGCAAGCCCTCATCTGGAGGGTCCTGAGAGAACAGGTTCTCGTGCCCCCTTCCTGGGCCATAGCCTGAGGCCAGGAGAGATAGCAAGCCAGCAAACCTTGAGGAGAAGTGCCTCATATCACCCTGAAGTGGCAGACTAGGAAGGTTGGTGTGGCATGTCTAGGTACAAAAGAATGGGAGATTTGCCCACCCCAGTCTCCCACGGGTCAGACTGGCATAAGAGGAAACCTACAATGTCCTGAAGGCTTCCATGTGGAACAAATCTACCAGAGAAAGAGAGAAAGCCAGGGGGTCAGCCAGCCCAGGATGAGGCTGGGAACCGGGTGAGGATGGACCTGCCCTCTCAATGGAGAGAACTAACAGGAACCCCCTTATGTCCCATAGACCAGCCAGGTCACCTCTCAAGGGAACACATTTATCTGCTGGACGGGACAGATTAAGACCACGTAGGGGGGGCTCCTCGGATAAGCCCTTGAGAGTTGAGATTAGTTCCAGGGAGGAGAAGCAGAGGGAGAAAGAGAGAGAGAGTTTTAAACCTAATTGTGACTGAATTATAAACTTGAATTGTCTAAGAAATGACTGAATTTGAATGAGTTTATCTGAGAGTGACTAGGTTGAATTTTCTCTGCTTTGAGGCAGAATGGAGGCTCAAGGCAGAAATTACACTCAATTATAGAAGAATAGAGAAAATGACATTTTTGCATGCTCGAGTCCGTGACTGTGAAATTTGTGCTGGCTCCGATAATTACAGGCAGCCAGGTGTCAGCAAAATCTCAAGAAAAGACCATGGAATCTATAGGCTGCTTGTCCACATTATTACCTCATCTGTTGCCATAGCTCAAAAGGTCAACATGATGTCTTCTCATTAGAAATCCTGACAAAATCCATTCAAATTCCTGTTCAAAATGTTCTCTTTATAGCAGAGAGCTGAGCTAACACTTGGTGGAAAAAAGAACACTTTTTGGAGTTCTGAGGAGGCCCAGTCCAGGTTGTAGCCCGCTGACGCAGGTAGCGCTCGGATCTTCTGTCTGCCCCCTCCAGATCCACTCTCCGCACTCCTGCACCCTTGCCAGCACCCTGGGTGGCGGGTCCCTGGGGTCCCTGGCGCTCCAGCCCTAGAGAGGCGCTGCCCAGGACTTGGAGGAGGGACAAGTGAGTCTGGGTATTGATTCCCCAGTCTCCCCTTCAGGAGAGTATCCTCAGCGCCCAGGCTTCTTCCTGGCCAGACCCTGTTAGCCATGCTTCTTCCTCCACCACTGCCGCTAACAACCTCAGAGGTAGGTTCAAGGTTATAACTCTGCTCTCTGGCCCTTTAAATCTGGTATCCATAGCGTCACAAGCAACGTCATTATTATGTATCTGCTGCCAGTAGAAAAGCCGGCTGGCCACTCAGAGGAAGCCTCCATCCACCACAGGGAGTCAAGTCAAAGCCACCACCACCCCCGCTTTCTGTAACTGGAATCTGCATATGGGCCTGAGGGGGCCCATTAGGAAAACACCTATTTTCATAGACTCCCAACCAACACTCTAAATAATTGGTGCTTTTGCTGAGGAAGACCCATGAGAAATTGACTTTTTTTTTTTTCTTCTGGGTGACATTGCGAGGACAGTGTCATGATTGGGTAAGTTTCATTATAAAATGAATCTCATACCCACCCAGGCCTCTGACGGAACCTCATTTGTTCTCAGGCACAGGTGAGCATCCTGAACAAAGCATACTGTCGTTTTAGACAAATTGCTGCGAGGCAATTTAGACACATTTTACAGATGTGTATCCTTTCCTACATAGTAACACCAAAAAGTCAAAAAGGCATTTCAGTGCTGAAAACCTGAATGAAGTATTAAAAATGCTTCACAATCCACTCCTTTTTTTTAAATTTTTTACAATCGATGAGCCAATATTGATACATTACTGTTAACTGGAGTTCGTAATTTACATGACAGTTCACTCTTTGTGGTGTATATTCTATGGCTTTTGACAAATCATCATGTACCCACCGTTACTGCACCATACAGAATGGTTTCACTGCCCTTAAAAATCCCTTGCGCTCTACCTGTTCATCTTTCTCTTCCTCCCTCCCCAGCCCCTGGCAACCCCTGATCTTTTTACTGTCTCTCTTCTTTTGCCTTTTCCAGAATGTCATACAGTTGGAATCACATAGTATGTAGCCTTTTCAGACTGGCTTCTTTCATTTACCAATATGTGTTTAGGTATCCTCCAGATCTTTTTACGGCTTGATAACTCATTTCTTTTTATCACTTTCAATATTCCATTGTATAGATGTACCACAATTTGTTTATTCATTCCCTTACTGAAGGATGTGTTGGTTATTTGCAATTTTTGGTTAATTATGAAGAACTCTGCCATAAACATTCATGTGCAGGTTTTTGGAGACAAATTTTCAAATCACTTAGGTAAATATCTAGGAGTGAGAACGCTGCATCATAAGGTAAGACTATACAGTACTTAGCTTTATAAGACACTGCCAAACTGTCTTTCAAAGTGGCTGTACCATTTTTCATTCCCACCAGCAATGAGAGTTCCTTTTGCTCCACATTCTTGCCCGAATTTGGTGTTGTCAGTGTTTAGGATTTTAGCCATTCTAATAGATGTGTAGTAGTATCTCATTGTTGTTTTAATTTGCAGTTCCCTGATAGCATATGATGTTGAGCATCTTTTCACATGGTTTACCTGCCATCTTCTTTGTTGAGGTCTGTTCAGATCATTTTCCTAAGTTGAGTTGTTTTCTTACTGTTGAGTTTTAGGAGTTCTTTGTATATTTTGGGTACGAGTCCTTCATTAGACATGTGTTTTGCAAAGATTTTCTCCCAGTCTATGGTTGCTTTTCATTCGTTTGACAGGGTCTTCTGTAGAGCAGTTTTCAGTTCTCATGAAGTCCAGCTTGTATTTGGTGTTGTATCTAAGAAGTCATTACCAAATGCAAGGTCATTAGTTTGTCTTTTATGTTATTTTCTAGAAGTTTCATAACTTTGCATTTTACATGTATACCCATAATCCATTCTGAGTAAGTTTTTGGGAGAGATATGAGATCTGTGTCTAGATTCCTTTTTCTGTATATGAATGTCTGGTGGTTCCAGCACCATTTATGGAAATACTATTCTTTGTCCAGTGAATTCTCTTTGCTCCTTTGTGAAAGAGTGGTTGACTGCATTTGTGTAGGTATGTTTTCGTATGGGTATATTTTGCTCTGTATTCCATTCCACTGATCTATTTGTCTTTTCTTTTGCCAATACTATACTCTCTTGAATACCGTGGCTTTATCATGTCTTTAAGTCTCATCAGTCGTTTGACTTTGTTCTTCTTCAACATTGTGTTAGTCATTCTGGGCCTTTTGCCTTTCCATATAAACTTTATTTATTATTTCTTTAAAGATTTTATTTATTTATTTGAGAGAGAGAAAGATAGTGAGAGAGAGCACGAGCAGTGGGGAGAGGGAGAAGCCTGACATGGGGCTCTATCTCAGGACCCTGGGATCATGACCTGAGCCGAAGGCAGACACTTAACTGACTGAGCCACCCAGGTGCCCCTCTATATAAACTTTAGAATCAGTTTGTCAATATCCACAAAATAATATACTAGGATTTTGATTGGAATTACATTGAATGCATAGATCAAGTTGGGAAGAACGGACTTAATAATCTTGAGTCTTCCTATCCATGGACATGGAATAGCTCTCCATTTATTTAGATTTTTTTTATTTCTTTGGTGAAAGTTTTCTAGTTTTCCTCATGTAGATCTTGTACATATTTTCTTCAATTTATAACTAAGTCTCTCTCTCTCTCTTTTTTGATACTGTTTATGGTGTGCTTCTAATTTCAAATTCAGTTGTTCGTTGCTAGTATCCAGGAAAACAATTGACTTGTTGTATACTGGTCCATGTTTTAAATGTCTTTTTTGCCTTTTCCTTTTTTGCTTCCTTCTGTCCCTTGAAAGAGAGGAAGGAACTCAGGATTTGGAGAAAGATATTAAACACTTTAAAATTAATAACCTTTATTTTTAAAGAGTAGTTTTAGGTTTATAGGAAACTGGGTAGACAGTACAGGGGTTCCTGTAAGACCCTGCTGTCCCTTGACAGTTTCCTCTATTATTAACATTTTGCATTAGTGTGGTACATTTGTTACAACTTTCAATTTTAAATTTGGTACAGCAAGTAGGTATGGAGTGCTTTTAGGCATACAAAAGAAATGTTCCCTGCCCTCATGGAGTTTACAGCCTCCCTGGAAAGGCAGGAAAAAATGCTTCTGTATGAGTGACTAGTATACAAAATAGCATATAATTGGGTTTTAAAATGTGTCCTTCTTTAGTGAAAGGGAGAAATTAGAGAGCTAGCTCTCCATAGATGAGGTGAGATGTAGGAAGGGTCTGGAAGGGTAGTAGGATTTGGATAGGTGGAGGTAGATTGCAGGCAAAGTCTAAGCAGAAGGAATGGCCCATACAAGGATGCAGAGGTGGGAATGTTGAAGGGGCAGCTTTATCACATTGGGCAGAGGTGGGGTATGACCTTGAAGAATGTCAGTGTGAGTCATCAGAACTCGATAAAGTGTTTCAGGTTGAGTTTCTAAGCAGATCCTTTGGGTCTGGTTCTTTTAGGACCATTGGTTTTTGGTTTCACATATATCTCAAGGCAGATATTCTGAACCCTTTGCTTCTTTGAACCAGAATTACAGGTTCACACCAGGAAGTGTTTCTAAAGAGAAGCACTGCCCTTCTGGGGAAAAACTACCAAATGGGGCTGTGGGTTTTTCATTTGCCCCAAGAGTAGAATTTCGCATATGCACATCAGGAAAAAAGCAACCTACTTGGGAGGTCAAAAATAGTGATGCAGGTGCCAAGGGAGTTTCCCCAAGTTCCCCAGGCCCCTCACTGGCTGGCTGCATTGAACTCACTCTCTTTGAAGAAGTCAGTCATTACTGGGAGGCAGGAGAACCCTGTGGGGTCTCTCAGGAGGGAGGAAAGCAATGAAGGGATTGTATGAATTCCAAAGCTTTAATCTCTTCTTACAACTAAGGGAAGAGCAAAGAGGGCATTAAATGCCCTAATTTTTTTTTTCTTGGTCTGAGTTAACTTAGCTCATGAGGCCTCTCTAGAGTTACATGTAATTGCTTATTCAGTTTACCAGTAATAAGACTGTAGGGATTCAAGGAAGTTTTCATAGTGAAAGGACACATTCATATTCAGGACTCCAGTCATGCCTTCTTCACAGACCTTACCTTCCTTCACAACACCTCTCGGCATCCAATTCTTTTTCCACCCCCATCCTGCGTTCAGGCCACCCACCTGACTATAAGGACAGCCACATACCAGATCTCTTTGACGATAGAGTCCCTCTCATAGTGCCTTGGGGTCAAAATCTCAGATCCATTCTTTTCCTTCACAGAGGCTCATTCATTCTTTCTCTGAAGCATCCCTTCCTTTTGATTCCCACCTTATCCCAGGACCCCAGCCCTTTACCGCTAACTCTCCCAGGTATTCTGCATCAAATCCAGGCTCTTTGGCCTGAATCATAAGGTGTTCCCTCTAAAACTTACAAGACTATCCCATGAGTTGCTCCTGTCTTGGGTCCGCTGCCACTCATGTTCATCCCTCAGCCTGGCATTTTTCTCTCCTCTCTTGCCATTTTAAGCAAATAAAATATCCAGACATGTCCAGCTAAATTTGAATTTCAGATAGACAATAATTTAAAAACATAATTTGGTACATACTTATACTAAAAAATTACTTGTTATCTGAAATTCAAATTTAATCAGGCAGTCTATATTTTATGTGTCAACCCTACCACTCTGGAAACTTTTCTTATGATCCAATTCTTCCAGATCTGGTTTTTTTTTAGTTGCTAAAATACCTAATTGAGACTTTCATTATATGGTATCTTATAATTATTGATTACATATGCAGTACTAACACTTTTGGAGCAACTATTCAGCATCAGGCACTGTGCTTAGTTCTTTTTATACAACAGCTTATTGAATTCTTACAAGAAATATGTGATAAAGTAGGTCCTACTATTGATGTAGGAAAGACATTAGGGCTCAAAGCCGATGGCTAAGAAAGAATTCTTAGATGTCTTTGGTGCAAAAAGGTTAATTTTTATTTAAAATTTTAATTTTTTAGAAAAGTTTAATTTTTTAAATTAAAATTTAAAATTTAATTTTAATTATTTTTATTTATTTATTTGAGAGAGTGAGAGCGAGAGAGATCACAGAGGAAGAAGGAGAAGCAGACTCACCGCTGAACAGGGAGCCCGATGTAGAGCTCGATCCCGGGAAAAAGTTGGTTTTCTTAAGGCACGGGGACAGGGCCTGTGGGCAGAAGGAGCTGTACCGGGGTCATGAGGAGTGGCCCATTACAGACTTTCAAGTTGGGAGAGGGTTAGGGATAGCATAAGTCTGTAAGGAATTTGGAAGCAAGGTTTCCAGGACCTTGAGGGGGCTAGCTACTGTTGGGAAAAGGTCGTTTATTACTGTCTAATAAAACCTTAGTCACGAGACCCTTCAGATGTATATCGGAGGGTCGTATGCTTGGGGGATGATTGCCAACACGTATCTTGGGGGTGGTTTAGCGATAAAGGAAATTTCCAAAAGAATTTTTTTATGTTAAAGTCGTTTACAGGATCCTGGGGCGGGGGTGGGGAGATGGGGGTGGGAGGTGAGCATCAGGCTAGGATTGCCTTTTGCCCTCAGCAAAATGTCAGCATCCAGTCAGTTGAGTCCCTAGAGGAATGTCACTCTGCCTGTTTCAAGGACTGGTCCATATGCTGTAGGTAGTAAGGAAATGTAATAATTTTTCTTCTGCCTTTGTTTCCCACATTACTATGATACCAATTTTATAAATAAGGCAGCTGAGTCTTTTTGAGAGGTTATTTTATTTGTTCAAGGTCCCAAAGCTAATTAAATTTGAACTTTTATCTGGCTGTAGGGTGGTCTGTTCTGGTATCTCTGGCAATGTCCTGGTTTTAAAACTGAAAGTGCCACATCCCAGAAATCCTTTCAGTTCCATATGTCTGACTTCAAAGCCTGGGATTCTATCCTGCTTCCCATTTTGTTTTTTAATTTTTTTTTCCCCTCTCAGGTTAGAAAGCCCCCAAAGACAGGGTGATAGCTAATGATATTTACTGACACTAAGAATTATTTAGTAAGTGCTTGACAAATGAAGACCAGAAGCTCCCCTCTGAGGCCACCCCTCTTTTCTTGAGCCTCTTTAGATTGTAGGAGCTGAGCAATGTGTGGACCGTGCTTGAGGGTGGCTAATCTTAGATGCAGCTGAGACCTGAGCATGGCCAGTGGCCTTTGCAATAGAGGCACAAAAGTGACCAGGATGTCACTGGCCTTTGCTTACAAAGATGCTAGGCTATTGTTACTAGCAACAATGCCTCTAAATTAGTGGAAATGCAGCTCCTTGGTAGGTGTGTGGTGCCTCACTTGACAAGTTGAACTTTGAGAGACTCCCTGCTTTGAAGTCTGAGTTAGGGCTTGGGTGAGGCTGGAGAAACAGAAATCATGGTGCCAAGAAAAGTGGAGTGCAATAAGGTGGGAAGCAAGTCCATTGCACCTTGCTGGTTGGACAGCACCCAAAGAAGCAAAGTGGCTGGTGTTTTTTCCTTGGGCTTGTGCTTTTGTGCAATGCACACATATCCAAAAGATTATTATGTTATTACGTTATTATATAATAACTGAGTGGTGAAAATGGTGATATGTAGGTGTTATTGTCATGCTGCAAAGTGGTTAATAGGGTGCAATGGGAAAGACAGAAACGATAGATTTCCATCCCCCAAGGACATCTGTATAACTTGTCTCAACCTCATTTTGAATGCAGGTCATTACTGTGCATGTGTTACACTAAGTTAAATTAAGCTGTCTGTGGAGGAATCATTTGTGAAAATAATGTGCTATTTAAAAGAACTGGTTAAATTCATTTGATAAAGGCTAACACTCTTAAGGCAACTTTGTTTTTAGTTGCTAAATTTCGCTTCAAAATGCCTGAATTTTTAAGTGTGCTTTTGTTTCAGGTTTTTTATTAAGAGACCATAACAGATATGGGGCATAAAGATTAGGTAGGAGTTTCTATTTTGAACATTGCTGACAGATTCTATGGTGGTTTTTCTTCATCCCCGCAAGAGTCTCTTAGCCTCCTTGTGTGACATTCGAGGCCATTCTGGTCCAGCCTCAAACTCCCTTCCAGCTCATCTTCTACCAGTCTATACCACAGGCTCTGTGCTACTAGACTCTTTACATCCTTCAAACATACGGTCAGCTTTTCTGCTTCCGATCCTCTCTCTGCTTCCGATCCTCTCTCTTGCAAAGCATCGTGGTTAAGAGTTTAATCTCTTGAACTAGACTGCCTGGGTTCAAATCCTGATTCTGCTATTTACCGTGTGTGTGTGTGTGTGTGTGTGTGTGTGTGTGTGTGTGTGTGTTTAAGATTCATTTGTTTATTTGAGTGGGGAGGGGCAGAGGGGGAGGAGAGAGAAACTTAAGCAGACTCCATGCTCAGCACAGAGCCCCATGTGGGGCTCAATCTCAAAACCCTGAGGTCAGGTCCCTGAGATCATGACCTGAATGGAAACCAAGAGTAGAATGCTTCACCCGCTGCGCCACCCAGGTGCCCCCGCTGTGTGATATTGAGCAAGTTGCCTGACTACTCTATGCCTTTATTTCTCCAACTGGAAGATGAAACTAAATGATATTTCTCCTTCAGGAGTAAAATAATTCATGGAAGTGCTTAGAACAATGCATAGCACATACTAAAACCCTCGGTAAATGCTAGCTCCTCATTTATGTAACTCATTATCCTCCCCACTTAACTCTAAGTATATCTCTTCCTTGAAGGCTTTCCTGATCACGCCATCCTGCAATGTGCTCTCCCTCTTGGGAAATCCCTAAGACTAATACTGTTTCTTTGGCAGGTTGTTGGTATTCTTTTCTCATGCTCATGTTTCATGACCACATGCTAGAGTTGTCATCCAGGTATTTACTGAGCACCCACTTGGAGTCAGGTGTTTTTTTAAAAGGTTTTATTTTAATTAATTAATTATTTATTTATTTATTTGACAGAGAGAGATACACAGTGAGAGAGGGAACACAAGCAGGGGGAGTGGGAGAGGGAGAAGCAGGCCTCCCGTGGAGCTCGATCCCAGGACTCTGAAATCATGACTTGAGCCGAAGGCAGATGCTTGACTACTGAGCCACCCAGGCGCCCCTTATTTATTTATTTTAGAGAGAGAGAGTGTGCGTGCTCGAGAGAGCACGTGAGTCGGGGGAGGGGCAGAGAGAGGGAGGAGGAGAGAATCTCAAGCAGACGACCCTGAGACTATGACTTGAGCTGAAATCAAGAGTGAGATGCTTAACCGACTGAGCCACCAGGTGCCCCAGAGTCAGGTATTTGTGATCTCATTTTACAAAGGAGCAAACTAAAAGGATTTGCTAGGTTTACAGAGCTAGGGAAAGATGGTTCTGGGGTTCCAGCTCAGGTCGCACATAATTGCAGCCCCAACACTCTTCCTCTTATCCTAAAAAACACGGGGCGAATCTTATACTGTGTTAGAGTCCATACTTCCCTTCAGCTGGGAGGCATTCAGTTTATTTCTGGTGATTTGATGGACCAGTATGCAATTTGGTTGCCTTTCTAAGTGTCATTCAGTGCTTATGCTTGTGATTATTTTGATGGTGATAAAGATATTGCATGGGATTTTTTGATGGGCTTTAAAAAGATAACCTGGAACTTATTCTTCTTGGGTTGAACCCCATGTGAATCTAAAAACGCAGTTCACATTTATTTTTGTCTTAACTATTCCCTGCTGTTGCAAATATGGTTAGATGAGAAATGTCAGAACCCATCTCATTATCAATGCAGGTTTTGTCACAACGGAGACTTTCTCATGACTCAGTACCAGCTAATTGATCTGTCAATGGCTTTCTTTGTTAGGTGAGTCATTTGATACATTGTTGACAAGATGCAAACTGCTCTCTACCCACCTGGGAAGCTCCAGTGGGTCTGGCATTCTTTCAATCCCTAATCAAGATGCTGTTAAGCAGCTGATGGCTTACAGTGAACAGGGATGAAACTATTGGTTTTGCAAGCAGCTGCTGGAAAGACAACTTGATAGAGCTTTAGTGAGGTATGAATCCTTCCCATTTTAGAGTGTGTGCATGCATGTGATACAAGGCAACTTCTGTGATTTCTAGACTCCTTGGACATAATAGTTGTATCTTTACTGAGACTGAAATCTTAAAGAACTGGGTCCTTCTATCAACAAATATTTATTGAATTCGTATTATGTGCCAAGTACTGTCCTAGGTACAGAGGATACAGCACTGACAGAAATAGACTAAAATCCCTGCCCTCTGGAGCTTTCTCTTTGAAGATTTTATTATGGAAAAAATTTCAAATTTATGCAAAAAAGAAAGAATAATATGCCCATCATTCAGCTTTAATAATGATCCATATTTTGTCATTCTTATTTCATCTATCCCTCCCATCATACACACATTTTTTTAACTGAATAAATTTGACAGGTCACATTGTGTTGGTTTAAGGTGTATAGTGTGTTATTTTGATACATTTATATATTGTAATATGATTACCAATGTAGTGATATTTATTACATTGCCTAGTTACAGTACAACACTATTGTCTAGATTCATTACATCTCTAAGACTTATTTATTATTCATTAGAAGTTTTTGTCTTTAAACACCACACTCTTAACCCCCCTAACTCCATCCCCTGGTAAACTCTAATTTTTACAGTTTTAATTTTTTTAGCTTCTACATAAAAGTGATGTCATACAGTACTTGTCTTTCTCTGTTTGACTGACTTTGTGTAATTGCTCAAAGTCCATCCATGTTGTTGCAAATGGGAGGATATCCTTCCTCGTGGCTGTATAATATTCCACTGTGTGTGTGTGTGTGTGTGTGTGTGTGTGTGTGTATCACATCTTTTTTATCCATTCATCCATTGATGGGCATTTGGTTGTCTCCATATCATGGTTATTGTGGATAATGCTACAATAAACATGGAAGTGCAGATATCTTGATGAATTCCTGTTTTCATTACGTTTGGGTATAAACCCAGAAGTGGAATTGCTGGATTGTATAGTAAACCTATTTTAAATTTTTTGAGGAACCTCCATATTGTTTTCCATAGCGGTTGGACTAATTTGCATTCCCATCACACACCACTTTAAAGCAAATCCTGGACATCAAACATTTTATTATAAATACTTCAGAATGAATCTCTAACAGATAAGGACTTTTTATTTATTATTTTTTTATTTTTTAAAGATTTTATTTATTTATTTAATTGACACAGAGAGAGAGACAGCGAGAGAGGGAACACAAGCAGGGGGAGGGTCAGAGGGAGAAGCAGGCTTCCCGTCGAGCAGGAAGCCCGATGCGGGGCTCGATCCCAGGACCCTGAAATCATGACCTGAGCTGAAGGCAGTCACTTAACCAACTGAGCCACCCAGGTGCCCCCAGATAAGGACTTTTTAATAAAAACATAATCACAATGTTGTTCTCATACCTAAAGAAATTAACAAAAAGGGACACCTGGGTGACTCAGTCGGTTAAACATCTGCCTTCAGCTCAGGTCATGATCCCAGGGTCCTGGGATTGAGCCCCGCATCAGGCTCCCTGCCCACCAGACAGCCAGTTTCTCCTTCTCCCTCTGCTGCTCCCCAGGCTTGTGTTCTCTGTCTGTCTGTCTGTCTCTCTCTGTCAAATAAATAAATAAATAAATAAAGTCTTAAAAAATTAAAAAAGAAATTAACAAAAATTCCTTTTTAAAAAAGAATTGTTTAACCACTACCTTATTATTTATTATCATATTCCTTCATTGTAGACAGCTGAATGGTCTATGTCATAACCCCACCATGAGGTTCGGTCTCTTCACTGATCATTTTAAAATTTTGTATCCTTTCAGCCCAACTGGGTTGGAAATTCTTTAATAAGGGCTTGGGTGTCGTTATGATGTTGGAGCCCCAGAACCCAGTGATCTGCGAAGTTGTGCACACTGTAAATCTTCAATAAATACCTATTGCTTGATTGGAAAAAAAAAAAAAGAATTGTTTATTTATTTATTTGACAGAGAGAGACACAGAGAGAGAGGGAATACAAGAAGGGGGAGTGGGAGAGGGAGAAGCAGGCTTCCCGCCAAGCAGGGAGTCTGATGCAGGGCTTGATCCCAGGATCCTGGGATCATGACCTGCGCTGAAGGCAGACACTCAATGACTGAGCCATCCAGGCATCCCAACAAAAATTTCTTGATGTAATTTAATGTCCAATTCAGGTTAAATTTCCCTCGACTCTCAATAATTTTTTTACATTTCTTTGCATCCAGATTCAAATGCTCTGCCCATTATAGGTTGTGGATAGAGCTCTTAGGTCTCTTTTGATCTATACCAGTTTCCCTTAGTTACTTTTTGATTGTAGGAATTAGGTTATCTGCCCTGTAGAAGTTCCTACATTTTGGATTTGGCTTATCGCATCCTCACGGTGGTGTTTATGGTATTCCTTTGTGCTTCACATTTTCTATAAATGATATATCTAGAGGCTTGGTTAAGGTATGTTTCAAAGGGGGGTGGACATTGGAGCTAACATCCTAGTGGAAACTGTCTTGATACCATTACTGTGTGCCAGAGATGTTTCTGGAAGTATCTGGGTGGCCAAAACTTTGAGCAGCCAGTGTGAAAACTTTAGTTCTTGGACTGTCAGTTTTAATCCTGATGCCGTGAAACATTCCCTTTGTTCCTTCTTCCTTTATGTTGGCCCATAAAGAAGACTTTTAAAAATGGTTGTGTCATATGGTGTTTGCGAGTGGCACCTACCGGAGGACCTGGGAAGCAGTTCCCCACACAGGAACGAGTTGGGTTTGAAAACTTCATTTGTTAGTGTCTTTTTGGGACTCAGACTAACAAAAGAGATGATAAACTTTTAGAATAGCATGACTTTAAATTAGGCCAGTTGAGTTCGAATATTTGAGGGAGTCTCTAGCATATATTTTGTGAATGATATTCAGGAGATTCCAGCAGGCAACCAGGAATGAGAATCATGGATTCAGATAATGAGGCTTGTGGGGGTCTTCAGTTTGTGGTCCACTTCAGTCGACGGGTCCCCGCCTGAAGCTTTGAGAAAGAAAAGGAGATGGGTCAGAGGAAAGCAACCTGGGGTGACAGCACTAGGAAGTTCCTGGGTCTCTGGTGACTATTGATTTGTAAGGACTTCAGTGATATTGATAAATTTCTTCATCAAAAAATGATGTCATGGGTAGGGGTGTCTGGGTGGCTCAATCAGTCAAGCGTCTGCCTTTGGCTCAGGTCATGATCCCGGGGTCCTGTGGGGACCCTGCCTCTCCCTCTCCCTTTGCAGCTCCCCCTGCTTGTGCTCTCTCATGCTCTCTCAAATAAATAATAAATAAATATCTTTAAAAATTAATGTCATGAGCTTTTTTAAAAAATGGGGAATGGGACTTTGGTTTGGGAAATCCAGAACTATGAAGGAAAGGAAGGATGATTCCAGTGAGCAAACAGAAGAATCCAGATGTCATTTACCAACTTGGGAAGGTCACAGGGAAGGGTTCTATTCTGAATATGCTGTATTTGAGATGCTTACGATACACTACAGATTAGATGTGGAGTAGGCAGTTTGATGTATGTCTGAAGTTCAGGGCTAGAGATAGAAACTTCGGAATCATTAAAATAGAGATGGCATTTAAAGCCACAGATTGGGTGAGATCATCTAGTAAATGAGAGAATGGCTTCCTGGAAGCCACATGAAGAAGGTTATAAACAGGGGAGCCTGGGTGGCTCAGCTGGTTAAGTGTCTGACTCTTGGTTTCAGCTCAGGTCATGATCTCAGGGTTCCGAGACTGAGCTCTGCATTGTGTCAGGCTCATTGCTCAGTGGAAAGTCTGCTTCTCCCTCTCCCTCTGCCCCTCCCCCTGCTTGAGCTTTCTCTCTCTCTCTAAAATAAATAAATGAATCTTGGAAAAAAAAAAGGGTTACAGTTTCTCAGAGGCATGTCTAGGAGGGTGATTGCTGAGTCATAAAGCATGCTGATACTTTTTCACTAACTACCGCCAGATTGCCCTATGGAATGTATTTACCAGTTTAAATTGCCATCAACAGTGCATGAGGATTCCATTTCCCCATATCTTTGCCAATATTTCAGACCATTTGACTAATTTTTGCCAAGCGGATGGGTGAAGCAATGGTGTGTTGGAACTGGCTCATGAGAGCAGATTGAACACATTTCTTCTGAACTCCTTGTTCAATGACTTCATGCTGGTAGTGTGAAATCAGCAGGCGTGAGAGTATTTGCACCATGGAAGTTGGCAAACCTGAAAAAGTAGGACCCCCCCGCCCCCCCGCCCTCGGCCTGGGCTGTTTTTTTAATATGCCAGCATACTGGTGACTATAGGTAGTACCATACTGTTTGCATTTCTATTCTTTCACTAATGGGTTTGAGCATCTCTCCTATGCTTGCCATTCTGGCTCTTCCTTCTGTGAACTGCCTATTTCTATCCTTTCCTCATTTTTATATTGGATTTTCTAACTTCTTTTTGTTGACTTGCAGAAGTTCCTTACATATTTTAGACATTAATCCCTAGCTGCTTTTGAATCTATCATATATCTTCTCCCAATTTGTCAGCTGCTGTTAACTTCTTCTTTCTTTTTTAAAAGATTTTATTTATTTATTTGTCAGAGAGAGGGAGAGAGCACAAGCAGGGGGAGCGGCAGATGGGGGGGCCAGGGAGCCCAACGCGGGACTCAATCCCAGGACCCTGGGATCATGACCCAAGCCGAAGGCAGACACTTAACCAACTGAGCCAGCCAGGCGTCCTGCTGTTAACTTTTTCTATGGTATTCTCCATTGGAGAAAAGCCTTAATTGTGACGTAGTCAAATCTCCCAGCCTTTTGTTTTAAGGTTTGTGTTTTTGCAGTCTTGTTTTATGAAGTAAATCCCTACTCCACATTCATAAAGATATTCTCCTACATTTTCTTTTCTACCTTTCAAATTGTAGGTCCTTAATTCATCTGGAGTTCACCTTTGTATATGGTAGACATATAACTAAGCCAGTTTCCCCAACAACATCTTCTAAATAATGTATATTTTTCTC